TTCGTCCTCGCATGGTGGTCCCACGTTTCCTACTTATTTCAGATAGATGTACTCAGTTCACTTTGCAATTTTCGAGAGTCGTGCAGCGAGAGTTGGGTACTCAGGTTGAGTTGAGCACAGTTTTCACCCTCAGACGGATGGGCAGTCCGAGCTCACTACTCAGATATTGGATGACATGTTGCGTGCTTGTGTCATTGGTTTGGAGGTTCATGGGATCAGTTTTTACCGCTCGCGGAGTTTTCATATAACAACAGTTATCAGTCGAGTATTCAGATGGCTCCATATGAGGCTTTATATGGGAGACGGTGTAGATCTCCAGTTGGTTGGTTTGAGCCGGGCGAGGCTAGGCTTTTGGGTACAGACTTTGTACAGGATGCCTTGGACAAGGTGAAAGTGATTCAGGAGCGGCTTCGTACAACGCAATCGAGACAAAAGAGTTATGCTGACAGGAAGGTTCGTGATGTGTCTTACATGGTTGGGGAGAAGGTTCTACTGAAGGTTTCACCCATGAAGGGTGTTATGAGGTTTGGGAAGAAGGGTAAATTGAGTCCTCGGTTCATTGGGCCTTTTGAGGTACTTCGGATGATTGGGGAGGTGGCTTATGAGCTGGCTTTGCCACCTAGCATGTCGAGTGTGCATCCGGTATTACATGTTTCTATGCTCCGGAAGTATATTGGCGATCCGTCTCATGTTTTGGATTTCAGCACAGTTCAGTTAGACGGTGATTTGACTTATGATGTAGAGCCAGTGGCTATTTTGGAGCGGCAGATTCTAAAGTTGAGATCAAAAGATATAGCTTCAGTGAAAGTGCAGTGGAGAGGTCGGCCCGTGGAGGAGGCTACTTGGGAGACCGAGCGGAAGATGCAAAGCATATATCCTCACCTATTTGAGGCTTCAGGTATGTTTCTTGACTCGTACGAGGACGAACATTTGTTTAAGAGGGGGAGGATGTAACGACCCGGCCGGTCGTTTCATGAGTTACAACCCCGTTTCCCCCATTTCTACTCCCTTATGTGTTGTTCAGTTGTATTTGATCATATCGTGTTGGTTGTGTTGTGTTCGGAGTGGTCTAGAGTGGAATGAGACACTTAGTCTCTTAGTTAGAAGCTTAAGTTGAAAAAGTTAACCGGATGTTGACCTATGAGTAGAAGGTCTCGGATATAATTCTGATGGTTCGGATAGCTTCGTTAGGTGATTTTGGGCTTGGGAGCGTGTTCGGAATGTATTTTGGAGGTCCGTAGTAGAATTAGGGTTGAATTGGCGAAATTGGAAATTTGGAGTTTCCGGTCGGTAGTGGAAATCTTGATATCGGGGTCGGAATTGAATTCCGGAAATTTGAGTAGGTCCGTTGTGTCATTTGTGACGTGTGTGCAAAATTTCAGGTCATTCGGAGGTGATTTGATAGGTTTCGACGTTGTTTGTGGAATTTCGAAGTTTCTAAGTTCTTAGGCTTGAATCCGAGGGTGATTTGGTGTTTTGGTGTTGTTTTGAGCGATTCGAAGGCTCAACTAAGTTTGAATGAGGTTATGGGATGTTGGCATGTTTGGTTGAGGCCCCGAGGGCCTCGGGTGAGGTTTGGGTGATTAACGGACCAATTCTTGGTTTTGGAAGTTGGCAAATTTTCTGGTATTTTGTTGCAGATGTAGACATGTGATTTTTGACCCTCCCCAAGATCTTTTATATTTTAGCGTGTAAATATTTAATTTAGGCCTAATATCGCTATTTCAACTAATTTTGACTCTTTTACTTTATTTTATTACAAGAAAATAAAAATTACAAAAAAATAATTTCATTAAGATTTTGTAGTCATTTTTAATCTTGAGAAAAATACCAAAAATAGTTTTGTTTTAACGGTCAATCTTATTTTAGTAATTATCTTTTCTTAAGAAGGGTTAATTAATATTTTTGATAATATTTTTATATGGATAGATTTTTAGTTAATAAAGCTAATTTTAAGCAAAGCTAGTTATAAAGGTCCAAGTTTCTAGCCCATTCCTTGAACCCAATACCTTTAACACCTTTCTTAAAACCTAGGGACCTAATACACAAAAGACCTAGGGACTAATTAGTAAAAAAATACAACAAATCCCTAGACTTTATAAAGGGGCTAAAATACAGATATACAGATAACACCAGCGCCGTTTTCTCAGAAAATACAAGGACCCCCCCCCCCCTTCCCCCCTTGGTCGTCTTCTTCATCAGGACCCCCGCCCCCCCCTCCCCAGCGAGCTTCCTCTTCACCCATCGAACACCAAAAATCGACCGCCCGTCCTGCTTCTTCTTCGTGCTTTGAACAGAGACCCAAAAATCGGAGTTGTTTCTAAGCTAAACCCAGCGACCCTTTTAACGATCTTCATCAGAAATAGTAGCACACGCACACACACGAAATAGAGGGAGACGAACAGAGGAGGTTTCGTTCTCAGTGTTTGGATTTGCCATACAGTTTTCCTTTCAATTCCATAGAGAATATGTAAAAATACAAAAATTCAGTCCTTTCATTCTTCTTAATTTGTTTCAAAGATCAGAAAAATGCAAAAATAAAGGTTTCGTTCTTCTTCTGGATTCTCGTTGGGAGTTCGATCAGTGAGGCTTTCGTTCGAGGTCGCCGGCGAGTGTTTCACTTGAAAATTATCCAATTGTTGTAGTCTGAATTCAGATCCATCAACACAGGTCATTCTTCTTGCTAGTTTATTGTTAGCTGATATTGTTGCTTTGATTGGCTTTTTCTGAAAATTGTAAAATGCTTCTTTACGTTTGAATCTTCAGAGATGTATTTTTGGGTGATTGCTTTGTTTATTTTGAGAAGGAGAGATATTGAATTCCACTTTATTCATCGTCGATGCCTAAGTTTGGTTATGTTTGTGTATGTGAAAGCTGTGGTAATTCTCTCATTTTGATGAACATGAAAGAACTAAGTTTAATAGATTGGAAAGCAGTGAATTGTTTTGAATCGAGGGAATGGTCACTGTCATCTTGCTAGTAGCAGTAGTAATTCTTATTGATTAGGATTACATTTTGTTGCCTTGTTTATTTTGTTTTGATCGTTAGTAGGCCAGTAATATTCAGAACATTGTAGTATGATTTATGTGCATTTTAAATTTATCGTCGTGATTGTGTACACGTTCGCGTGACATAATTACGACTTTTAAAGACAAACCCGGACTATGCGTTCGCGCAACTTCGACCAAACTTTTGTAAAAATAATAAATTTGTTATTAATATAGTCCTCTTTAATTAAATGTAGTTCTTTAGGCCGAGGTGTGCCATCCATAATTGAATCCCTATGGCCCTCGTGTTAATTTTATAACTTAGATATAAAAATGACAAATGTTCGTAGTTTGCATTAGGAGGTTTAATATACTATCGTGATTGTGGACAAGTCCGCGTGACATGATTACGATTTCTAAAAACAAAATCGGAGTATGTTGTTCGCGCAACTTCGGCCAAATTTTCTTAATAATAATAAAGCGTCATTAATTGTGGACACGTACGCGTGACACGATTTTGACGCGCCAAACAAAATGGGTACACGTACGCGTGACCCGTTTCAAGATAATTTTCTTAATATAAAAGCGGTAAAAGGTAAATTCACATAGGTTCTAAAATCAGTAATTAAATAATTTAATAAGCCAAGTATGATCTAAGCGACCGTGCTAGAACCACGGAATTCAGGAGTGCCTAACACCTTCTCTCGGGTTAACAGAATTCCTTACCCGGATTTCTGTGTTCACAGACATAAACAGAGTCAAATATTTCCTCAATTCGGGATTTTGAACCGGTGACTTGGGACACCATAAACTATCCCAAGTAGACTCTGATCTTAAATAATAATCCCGTTTCGATTGTCACTTAAATTGGAAAAAACTCCCTTATACCTTTCCGGGTGTAGTAAAAGGAGGTGTGACAGCAGAGGAATCCTTCTTCGCGTTCGCGAGAGGGCTCTCGCGTTCGCGAAGGGATGATGAAAGGGGCAGCCGAGTTGTTCTTCGCGTTCTCGATGTAGGTCCCGCATTCGCGAAGGTTCATGAGTTTAAGGCTACGCGTTCGCGACCTGGGCATCGCATTCGCGTAGTGTCAACGGTCATGTGGAGCTTCAGGCAATTTAAGCCTACGCGTTCGCGAGGAGTGTTCCGCGTTCGTGTAGGGTCGAGCTGAGCGGTCTTCGCGTTCGCGAAGGACAGAAATTTGGTCTGAGGCAGCTTGTGCTTTGCGAACGCGAGGGCGCTACTGCGTTCGTGAAGAAGAAGACGTCTGGGCAGAATGTTTAAGTTCAAAAACGAGGGCTTGAGTTCATAATTCCAAATTTCCATAGAGAGCTCGGGAGAAGGCGACTTTAGAGGGAGTTTTCAGAGGAGTGATTGGGGTAAGTGTTCTTCACTTTTTTTGGTTAAATTCCATGATTATGTCTTGATTTTTAACATCTAAATTGGGAATTTGGGGTGGAAATTGGGAGAAAAGTGGAGGAAAATTGGAGAGTTAATTTTAGGGATTTGGATAACCGTTTGACGTCGCATTTTGGTGAATTTGACATGGGTAGACTTGTGAGTGAATGGGCTTTTTAGTTTTGTGATTTTTATTGGATTTCGAGACGTGGGGCCGGGTTTGGCCAATTTCGGGAATTTTGATTAAGTTTGATAATTTTTGCACGGGCTTTGTTCCTTTGGCATGTATTGATGTTATGATTCTGATTTTGGATAGATTCGGGGCGATTTGAGGCCGAGTCGAGAGGCAAGGGCATTGCAGAGTAGATTTTTAACTTGGGCTTAATGCCATGTTTGGGGCCTTGAGCTGTACTGTTGGACCCTCAGGGGCATGTTACTGTTATCTTCACATTGTTATTGATAGAAAGCATTATCCTCAGTAATGGTCTATACCAGTTTATGGTTAAATCTTGTTCCTCACTCTATTTTTAATATTTATGAAAGTGTTATGGGCTGAGTTTCCCTGAGTTAGCACTGAGATTCCCGAGTGGCTTGTGAGGTTGATGAGTGAGTGAGGCCGAAGGCTGGATTGTGAGGATAGTTATGGATCGGGCTGCACACCGCAGCGTTATATATGTGTATATATGGATCGGGCTGCACGCCGCAGCGATATATTGGATCGGGCTGCATGCCGCAGCGATATAGCGCTTGGGCTGTAGGAGCCCCTCTGGAGTCTGTACGCCCCCAGTGAGCGCAGTCGACTATATTTATGGAATCGGGTTGCACGCTGCAACGGTTATTATGAGATACTTATTGAGTGTGAGTGCTAAGTGTGAGTGCGGATTGATGGTAATTAAGTCACGATTGACTGACAGGCTTGCCCGAGGGGCTAGATATATATATATGAGTGATACTTTACCCGAGGAACTTGTTTTTTTATGAAATTATTATTTTCACTCTTCTTTGTACTGAGCCTCTATTGAAAATGTTGAACAAATAATTTTAACAATTTTTGTTGAAACAGGATTTTTAATGGATGTTTAGAATTACTACTGATTTGATCTTGTTATATCCTCCGAAATTTCCATGTTATGATATGTTTATGATTTTAAATGCTCGTCACTGCACTCAGCCTTTATTTATGATTGTTACTTACTGAGTTGGCGTACTCACGTTACTCTCTAAACCATGTGTGCAGATCCAGGTGCCAGGGCATCCGAGTGAGAGCTGATCTTTGCCTTCAGAGTATTTCACGGAGTTAGCAAAGTAGTTGCACGGCGTCCGCAGCCCTGCCTTTCTCCTTCCTATCTTCTAGTATTTTTATTTATCAAACTCATTTTGTATTGAGTAGACAGTGTCGGATTGTATTCTAGTGGCTCATGACTAATGACACCAGGATCGGGGCAGTGTCTGATGTTTTGCGTATTTATTTCCGCTTATTTTGAAATATTAAATATGAAAGATTTGTGATTATATTTGACTAGTAAATGAATTAAGTAAAAGGCCTTTATGTTATAAGTGTTGAATCGGCTGGCCTAGTACTGCGATAGGCGCCATCACAACCGGGGTGGCTTGGGGTCGTGACAAGTTTGTTTTGTTGAACGCCGTGAAATAGTTATACCCCCACAAGTAAATAGATAGCTTGTTTGAGATCTGGCTTTATATGGGTTAGACAAATAACTTGCATCTGCATAACCAATCAACTATGAATCGGATTCATAAGAATAAAATAATCTCATATCAATAGTCCCTCGGATGTATCTAAAAATATGCTTAACACCATTCCAGTGTCTTGTTGTTGGAAAGGAACTAAATCTTGTTAATAAACTTACTGCAAAGGTTATATCTGTATTATTGCAAGATACATTAGTGTTTCAACTGCACTAAGATATGGAGTTTCATCACCAAGAAGGTCTCCATCATTTTCATGAGGTCAGAATGGATCTTTATTTATAGCAAGTGATCTCACAACCATCGGGGTACTCAATGGATGTGCTTTATCCATATAAAAACGCTTTAGGATCTTTTCGGTATAAGTTGATTGATGGACAAAAATTCCATCTTTCATATGCTCAATTTGTAGACCAAGACAAAATTTTGACTTTCCAAGATCTTTCATTTTAAACTCTTTCTTCAAACAGTCTACTGCTTTTGGAAGTTCCTCAGGAGTTCCAATGATATTTAGATCATCAACATACACAGCGATTATAACAAATTCAGATCCAGACCTTCTTATAAATACACAAGGACAAATTGGATCATTCTTATACACTTCTTTCAGCAAATACTCACTCAGGCGATTACCACATTCGCCCTGATTGTTTCAATCCATATAAGGGGTTTTGAAGCTTTATTGAACAAGTTTCCCGAAAACTTTTATTAGTTTCAGGAACTTTGAGCCCTTCAGGGATTTTCATATAAATTTCGTTGTCTAATGTGCCATACAAGTAGGTTGTGACAACATCCATCAGACGCATATCATGTTTTTCATGGACTACCAAATTTATAAGAAACCTAAAAGTGATTGCATCTACCACAGGAGAATATGTCTCCATATAATCAATGTCAGGTCTTTGCGAAAATCCTTGTGCCACAAGTCGTGCTTTATAACTAACGACTTCATTTTTATCATTTCGTTTTCACACAAAAACACATTTATATCCCACTGGCTTTATTCCTTCAGGTGTTCGGACTATACGTCCGAATACTTCACGGTTTTCAAGTGACGCTAATTCTGCCTGGATAGCGTCTTTACATTTTGGACAATCATTTCTCTATCTACATTCATCGACAGATCTTGGTTCAAGATCCTCATCTTGTTGCATTATTTCAGTGGCAACATTATAAGCAAAAATGTTGTCGACAATAATATTATTTCGGTTCCATCTATTTTCCGTACAGACATAACTTATTGAGATCTCTTCATTCTTATTATTTTCAGGTACCTGGACCTCCTCTGAGGTCTTATCATTTGTTATGTCATAGGGCTCTTTTTGAGCAATTACCTTCATATTATGATCTCCTAGATCATTTGCTCCTTTGGCTTTCGAGGATTTTTGTCTTTGGAACCAATTGGTCTACCACGTTTCAAGCGTGGCTTAGACTCATTTGTATTTATAGATTTTCCAACCGGGACATCAATTCGAATAGGAGCATTAGCAGCTGGAGTACGTGACTTAGTCACCCTTGGTAGGTTAGTGAATGCATCAGGTAGTTGATTTGCAATATTTTGCAAATAAATTATCTTTTGAACCTCGTGTTCACATTGATTTGTTCGAGGATCTAAATGAGATAGTGATAATGCATTCCAATCTATCTCCTTTGCAGTTGCTTATTTTCTCCCCCTATTATTGGGTGTACTGATTCATCAAAATGGCAATCAGCAAATCTTGCCGTAAATAAATCTCCAGTCATAGGTTCCAAATATTTTATAATAAAAGGAGATTCATACCCAACATATATCCCCAACCTTCTTTGGGTTCCCATCTTTGTGCGTTGTGGTGGATCAATTGGAACATATACTGCATATCCAAATATTCTAAGATGGAAAATATTTGGCTCCTGACCAAAAGCCAATTGTATTGGGGAGACTTTATGATAACTTGTGGGTCTGATCCGCACAAGAGCTAATGCATGCAAAATAGCATGGCCCCATGCCTAAATGGGAAGTTTTATTCTCATAAGCATTGGTTTAGCAATTAATTGGAGGCGTTTGATCAATGATTCCGCTAGACCATTTTGAGTATGAACATGAGCAACTGGATGCTCAATTGTTATCCCAGTTGATATGCAATAATCATTAAAGGCATGGGACGTAAATTCACCAACATTATCAAGACGAAGTGTCTTAATTGCATAATCTGGAAACTATGCTCTTAATCTTATTAATTGAGCTAGTAACCTCGCAAAGGCCAAATTGCGGGTTGATAACAAGCACAAATGTGACCATCTTGTAGATGCATCTATCAAAACCATGTAATATCTGAATAGTCCACATGGAGGGTGTATGGGCCCACATATATCACCCTGTATACGTTCCAAAAATGCAGGAAATTCAACTCCAACTTTAATTACTGATGGTCTAATAATCAGTTTGCCTTGAGAAAATGCAGCACAAGAGAATTCTTTAGTTTGAAGAATCTTTTGGTTCTTCACTGAATGGCCATGTGAATTCTTAATCATTTTGCGCATCATATTATAACCAGGATGGCCCAACCGGTCATGCCAAATAATAAAATCATTAGTAAACCCTTTGTTTACTATGGCATGTGATTCGACTACACTAATACTAGTGTAGTATAATCCGGAGGAAAGTGCAGGAAGTTTTTCAAGAACATACTTCTTTTCCACTTTTATTGTAGTAATATAAAGATATTCAATCTTTCCTTCATTGGTCATCTCAATATGATAGCCATTTTGGAGAATATCTTTGAAACTCAACAAGTTTCTTTGAGACCAACTACAATATAATGCATCATTAACAACCAATATAGTTCCTCCTGGTAGTAATACAGTCGCTCTTCCAGAGCCCTCGATTAATTTTGTACTACCAGATATTGTTATGATATTGGCTTTTTTCATAATTAAATAAGAGAAATATCTCCTATCTCTTAATATGGTGTGCGTCATAGCACTATCGAGAAGACATATTTCTTCTTTATTATTCATACGGCCAACTGAAGATTGGGAACTTTTCATGTTCCGGTTGAAGTAAATATTTCAATTGGTTAGAATAATCGTGCTGATAACGTGTTAAGAAATGAGAGCAAAATAGAACAATATAGTAATAGAGACAAGATGTATAGGAGGAGAATGTAGAAGTTATCTTATTCAAGTGTGTTTCTTGTGTGTTCTTCCATAGGCAAAGAATGTACTATTTATACTATACAAGATATACCCCAAACTCACTTGATACATCCTAGGAATTAATAGGTGCATCTATCCAAGTAGTACATTGTATAGAATGTATGGATGGATTATATGAACATCCACATACATTCACTTATTTATAACAATATACATATTTTAAAAAAGAATGGCTAATTAGCCGTTAGAAACGTCATTTTAATGGCTTTTTTTTAGCCTTCACACGCTCTTGGATGATTTTATTACACACATAGTGCCACATAAGTTTTCACACGCTCTTGGGTTTTGTTCAGGGAGTTTTCGCACTTGACAAAAGTTGTATAATTTTGACGGATTTTAGGGTATTAAATCTTAATCAACCTCTTAAAAGCAAGAATAAGAAGAAAAAATAGAAAAAGAAAAAGAACGACATATTTGTTAAAAAACTTAGCTCAAAGTAATAATATAAAACAAGAAAATAGACAAGAATGTAGGGAGCAAGAGATAGAGATTCTTATTTCTTTCATATATTCAAGTGTGTTACAAAATGACTTCTCATCCTCTTTATAATACTACATAGAGATATACCAAAAGAATTCCATAAATATGTCATTAAGCATTTGAGATCATGGTGGAAGATCATGGGGGAGGTATGAGAGTTACAATCATAACTCCATAAGTATTAGAGTAGTGGGAGTTATGGAGATAATGGAGAAGAGTAGTGGGTATTACTCATTTGGTGGTTATGGACATCCACTATAATTATATTTTATAACACTCCCCCTTGGATGTCCATAATAATGTGCCTCGTTAAAACCTTACTAAAAAATCACCGTGGGAAAAAATCTTAGTGAAGGAAAAAGAGTACACATAT